TCTGAGCAAAGGGGACATCCCGCAAACACTGTGGCTACGTCTAGACTGGCATGATTCTCCGAAACTGCTTTTAACGGAAAAGTCCTCCGTTAAAAGCATTTTCAGAAAAGAGCGTCTAGATTGGCATGGACGCTGTTCCGTAAAAGCACTTTTGGTGGAAAAGCGTCCATGCCAATCTAGACGGGCTTTTTTGCGGAAAAGTGTCGATCGCCATTTTCGCAATCGGGGCTTTTTAGCGGAAAACAGATCTGAGCTGTCTACACTGGCTATTTGCACAAAAACTTTTGCCTGAACGGGAGCAGCATAGTATTTCCGCAAGAAGCACTGATTTCTTACAGTAAGAAGTCAGTGCTTTTGCGGAAATTCAAGCGGCCAGTGTAGACAGCTGGCAAGTTTTTCCGGAAAAGCGGCTGATTTTCCGGAAAAACTGGCCAGTCTAGACACAGACTGTATGTCTCACACAAAATCCTTGAGTAGGAAGCTAAATATTGTTAATCCTGTTTTCATAATGGGCAAACTGAGGCAGAGTGACTTGTCCACTGCCTCATAGTAAGTCAGTTGTAAAGCAGAGATTATAGCTCAGGAGTTCCTTGGCTCCCAACATCCACTGCTTATTCTTTCAGGTCATGTTTGGAAGGAGCCCAGAAGAGGAAAAACATCTATACTCAGATGATATGGACTAAAATTTAGAAAATATGGAGTACAGCATAAAAAAAATTAGCAAGCTTACCCATCACTGATAACATAAGAATGGCAATACTGGATCAATTCCAGTGTCCTGTTTTCTGACAGTGGCCACTACTAAATGCTTCAGAGAGAATGAACAGAACAGAGCCATATTTGAGTAATTGATGATGTAGTCTAGTCTCCCTGGTCTGCAGTGAGACGGGGAGCAAAGCCTTGGAGCACGCCCGCAGCGGGACAGCCCAGGCATGCTTGGGCTGTCCCCCTGAGGGCGTGCTCTGCAGCTTTGCTCCCATCTCCCTGGTCTGCAGGGAGACGGGGAGCAAAGCCTTGGAGCACGCCCACAGCGGGACAGCCCAGGTGCGCCGTGGCTGTCCCGCTGCGGGTGTGCTCCAAGGCTTTGCTTCCCGTCTCCCTGCAGACCAGGGAGACGGGGAGCAGCTTTTCTCGCCCCGGCGGACGGG